ACCATGACTTTTTTTTGGACTGACTTTGGAAGCAGACCTTTTCTCGGCTAGCTATTTTCGGTATTTGAAAAACATGGCTAAAGGACATTGAGATTTTGAAAACTATCCTTTCAATGTTGGTAGGTCGGTACTCAACTAAAGGATTTGGGGCTGACGAAGACAAAGACGTATTGAAATTCGGGATTTTTGATTACCACAGCACAGCGGACGTTGAATTGACTAAAGACTAAGGCCTATATTTCTCTTCAAAAAGAAGAAGGGGACAGAACCACGCCTTATGACGAAAGGGGAGAGTGAAACCTAGAACGATACCACTCCGAGAATGAGACATCCTGGACAGACGGCTGGCAAGAGTGAGACCTCTGAGAGATTTCCCTACTGGACTCCAATCCAATACTCTATTTTGAAGAGACCACTAAAAGAAAAGAGAAGAATGCGACCATCGAGTTTCTTCAACGAGCCCCACCCTGGGTCTTTCTTAGTGTAGTTGGTTCTCCCGTGGTAAGCTCTCTGACTACTGGCTTGGCTAGGCTGGTCTCCTATTAAACATGGTAAGCCCGACCCGTCACTCACTGAAACCCGGGAATCCTCCCTTTTTTTTTAGGAGTCAGAAGTCCTCTCTCGCCAGTCTCGGTCAATTGAATCTGACTGAGCTTGACAGGTTCCGACTTGCCTTTCCTATTCTTTTTTCTTATTATTGAACTGGTGTCTGAAAGACAACAAAAAGGTAGGGTAGGAAGAATCTCCTAAGAAAGGTCTCTTCTTCTTCTTTAATGGATGGGAACACATCGAATGAAAAGGATGTCGAATGAGTTGAAAGATGGCAAAAACCCAACTTCCTTGTGAGAAATTCAATCTGAACTTGATTGGCTCCATCACCGGAACCAGCTGCAGCCTCTCTAATCCAATTCCGTTCCACAGGAATGCCAAAACAATGATGATGGCCCGTTCTTCTTCTCAGAGACTACTTGAACTGCCCGATTGACCGATGGCTCTTTAATGGCTGATTTGCCTGACCTTCTCTCTTTCTTCAGAAGAAGCTAAAGGAGCCATCACTTCAAGTGAAGGCGGAAGAGAAGACTGGAAAGGCGAAGAGCTAAGATTCAGGTAATGAAATTATGGGAGAAAGGAGGAAAAGGTCAGGCTAGTAGCTAAAGGCTTTACTCAAACATATGTGATAGATTAGGAGGAAACCTTTGCCCCGGCAGCCAAGATGAAGTCTGTTCGTCTCCTGCTCTCTATTGCTGCGAATCGAGATTGGCCTCTGTTCCAATTAGATGTTAAAAATGCCTTCCTGAACGGGGACCCACAGGAAGAAGTTTACATAAGTCCTAAACCCCCTTGTGGTAAGGGGGATGAGAAAAAGGTTTGCAGACTGTTCAAGGGTGAAAGCAGTCTCCCCCGGCCTGGTCGGAAACTGAGGCCTGGTTTATCAATAATGATATGGACAAAAAATCCCGAAGGGAGAAAAACAAGAGCTCTTAAGGGCTCTATTTGAAAGGTACTGGGGACTCAATCAAAAGAGGATACCAGCAGAGTTCGACATCCATAGGATCCAATCCCACGAACTGATGACCTCATCTGCTCCTCGACCTAGAGGGGCGAAGTGGAGATCCCTTCCCTACGCGTACTCATGGAAGCTGAATTGGAAGAATCCGAGTGGAGTCGGTATGAACAGTTGAACCTGATCGAAGAAAGAAGGGAAGGGTGGCTTTTCGCTCCAGGCGACAAGATTAGAACCCATATAGACACTGTACCCACTAGTGCTGCGTCTGTCATCTGGACATCCAGCCCAATCAGCATCTGAATATGCACTAAGTTGATGAAGTTCATTTTTGCTTCTGTTAAGGCCAAAAGTGAGAGTATGCTTGAGATATCGAATAATACGCTTGACAGCAGCCCAGTGATCAACAGAAGGTGCTTGCATAAACTGACATACTTTGTTGACAGCAAAGGCTATGTCAGGTCTAGTGAAGGAGAGGTACTGAAGAGAACCAACAATGCTCCTGTACAGTGTGGGATTTTCAAAAGGTTCCCCTTGATGACGAGAGAGCTGTAAACCTGTAGCCATAGGAGACTTTTAGGGATTTGCACTTCCATAAACCATTTTTTTATCAAGTCATGGATGTATTTACTCTGACATAAGAAAAGACCCTCATCATCTCGCCATGCTTATACACCAAGAAAATAGTGCAAAGGAAGGAAAGCAACCTTAATAGCAAACTCAGTAGCAAGAGAAGCAATGAGGCCACGAATCGCTCCAGCATGAGAACCAATGAGGACGATGTCATCAACATATATAAGAACATAGAGGGTTTGAGAGTCAGAGTGCTGAATAAAGAGAGAGGACCTTGGAGCCCACAAAACCAAGGCTGTAAAGAAAATAGCTGAGATGCATATACCAGGCACGTGGAGCCTGCTTGAGACCATAGATTGCTTTACGAAGCAGACAAAGGGAGAATTTTGATCAACAAAGCCTTTGGGCTGCTTCATGTAGACC